AGGTGCTTGGAGGAGCTCGGTCGGTAGGTGCTTGGAGTGACGCGGGCGGTATAGGTGCTTGGAGTGGCCCTGTCGGTATAGGTGCTTGGAGTGGCTCCGTCGGTATAGGTGCTTGGAGTGGCTCAGTGAGGAGTGGCTCGGCAAGTAGGTGCTTGGAGTGGCTCGATCGGTAGGTGCTTGGAGTGGCTCGGCGAGTAGGTGCTTGGAGTGGCTCGGAGGGTAGGTGCTTGGAGTGCCTCGGTCGGTACTGGTGGTTGGAGTGGCTTGGTCGGTATAGGTGTTGGACTGGCTCGGTCGGTATAGGTGCTTGGAGTGGCTCTGTGGATGGGTGCTTGGAGTGGCTCTGTGGGGAGGTGCTTGGAGTGGCTCAGTGGGTAGGTTGTTGGAGTGGTTCAGTGCACAAGTGGTTATCGGGTGCCTGAAATTTCATAGATGAAAATTGTGAAGTGTGAAAAATTGAGTTGTTTTGTTTGTCATGAAGGTTCTCGCAGTAGTTTATGCCGCTCGGCACTGGCATCACTACCTGCACGGGGCACCGTTCATGGTGCGTACGGACAACTCTGTTGTCCAGGCTTTTCCGACAAAACTGAAGCTCACTCCTCGACAGGCTCGCTGGTGGCGCGACCTATCTGAGTTTAGTTTCACCTCTGAGCACATCAAGGGTGAAACTAATCGGGTCGCAGATGCCTTATCCTAGCGCCCTAACCACGACCAGGAGCAGATCCAGCTCTCTTCCATCTCGATCACCACTGTCCACCACTCGGTGATCGACGAGTTTCGCACTCAGTACCGTCACTGCCTCGACTATCGCGACATCCACGCGACCCTTTGGAGTGGMAAGACCGTCCCGAACTACTCTCTCGGGGACAACGGTCTCGTGTACTGGCACGGTTCACAGGGCACCAGAGAGCCCCGTATTTGCGTTCCCTCCACTGGACAGCTACGTATCCGCGCAGTAGCAGAGTTCCATGACCAGGCAGCCGCCGGTCATATGGGCTTCCATAAGACGTTGGCTCGTGTGAGCCGCCTGTACGTCTGGCCGAAACGCAAGGACTTTGTGAAGGACTACGTCGCAGAGTGTCCCACCTGTCAGGAGGTGAATAGTGCGAACCACTTGCCTTATGGCTTGCTCCAGCCTCTTCCTATCCCTGAGGGTCGTAGGCAGTCCATATCGATGGACTTTATCGGTCCCCTTCGTCCTCTGACCCCTCGCGGTCATGATGCTATCCTGGTCGTCGTCGACCGCTTCACGAAGCGTGCACGCTTTGTTCCGTGCCGCTATGCCATCAGTGCACGTGAGGTCGCCGACATCGTRTTTGACCGAGTCGTGCGTGACCACGGCTTACCTCTGAGCATCATATCTTACCGTGACCCGCGCTTTACCAGCCGATTCTGGCGACGGCTCCACGAGGTGTACGGCACTCAGCTCCGCTTCTCCTCGTCTTACCATCCTCAAACTGATGGTCAGACCGAGATCACGAACAGGACTCTCGGAGATATTCTCCGAAAGATTGTTCGTGACGATCAGCAGTGGGATTTTCATCTTGCCCACGCGGAGATAGCCTACAACCACGCCGTCTCGCCAGCCACGGGGATGTTGCCTTACTATTGCGACCTCGGCTATCACCCTCGTGTTCCCGCGGACTTCCTTCGACCGTCCCAGCTGCACCCCGAAACGAGTTGTCCCGCGCTGGATGATTGGGTTGCACACATGACGTCGATCATGAAGACCGCACATGAGCACATAGCCGCTTCCCAGACTCGCATGGCAGCACGTGCGAACCGATCGAGAATGGATCATCCATTCAAAGTCGGTGATGATGTGCTTATCGACGTCCGTCACTTACAGCTCGAAGTGGACATGCTTCGCAAGTTTTGGCGTCGCTTCTTTGGCCCATGCCGCATCCTCCAGGTCGTCGGTTCTGATACGGCATCTAGCCCGGTCAGCTTTCGTGTGAAGCTGCCCGACTACCTACGCCAGGCTCGTGTGCACGATGTCTACCACGTCTTGTTACTGCGTCCTTACCGCAGACCGTCTGAGCGTTTCGCTGGACGACCATACGAGCGCCCTCCACCCATCATGGTGGACGGCCACGAGAAGTTCCTCGTTTCAGACATCATTGGTTGCCGGGTCACCGGCGGTAACCCTCCCCACGTCGAGTATCTCGTACGTTGGAAGGGTTACCCTGATGAGGAGGCTACCTGGGAGCCCCTCGAGCACTTGCAGCACGCTCGCATATTGGTGCGTGCCTATGACCGTGCTCGTCGTGCTGGGTTCACTGCTCCTCCTCAGCCCACTGACCCTCCTCCTTCTCCCCCGGCTGAGGAGACCGCTGAAGTCGAGCCTGCTCCATCTAAGGCAGACCTTCTGCAGCAGTCGGATGCTTCTGAGCGTCCACAGCGCACTCGTCGTCGTCCTGCTCGATACCACGATTGACTCTGACTTACCTTCCCACGTCCTTGACTTCTCAGTACTCCATACACATCAGTTTTGCTACTTCAGCTCGTCGACGTTGCGGCTCTTCCTCGACGACATTCCGGACTTCTCATCGTGGACGTCATCGGAAGCTTCATGGACTTCGTCACGATCAACTCTGCCTACTTCAGACGTCACCACTCTCTTACCGCTTTACCCTGTACAGTACCCTGCTTGTGTCGCATGATGGTCTCCCTTTTGCCGAGTTCCTCTGAGTTGGGCTCTCCCTTGGTATACGCATAGGCATCGGGACCGTAGCGTTGCCCTGGCTTCCCATCTTACGGATCTAGCTCCGACTTCCCTCACTTTAGGAGTCATTTGCATGATTCCCCTACCCATCACCTCTACCCTCTGCCGGCCCTCACGCCCTAGTTGGGCAGCCCCGCATGCTTCATCTAGGTGCGCCCAGTATACCAGGCTCCCTTGTTCCCTTGCATGGTCGACCCTCCATAGCGGTCACCCCTTAGTCGAGCATTACCCGC